TAATGATTTCTCATTCTAGCAAGCCCAAATAATTTTTTTTTTTTTTAAAGCAGATTACCGAAATAGAGCCAGCAGGCCGTTTAGATTCCAGTAATCAGGACCGGCTCACAGCACTGAAAGCAGTAACAAATTTTGGTGCTCCTGTTGAAGTTTTTGACTCTGAAGGTGAGTGTCACTTCATGACCCGGGCAGTCACGATTTAATGTCACATTAGTCCAGTTTGACATAGCCGTTCACCACAGGAAGATCTTGGCTGGCCGTGCTTCCGTGAAGAGTAAAGCATGTCTCTGGTATTAATTTCATTGAGGAGAGAAGACTAGCCAATAAATAGCAAAACCCCAGAGCATAGGACTCACTTTACTGCACAAGATCAAACATAAGTGTGTTCATGTTTTCTTTAGTGTGTTTTTGTTCGTACCACACAGAAGCTGAAATGTTCCAGAGGAAACTTGATGAGACCACCAGATTGCTCCGAGAGCTCCAGGAAGCCCAGAACGAGCGTCTGAGCACCAGACCCCCTCCCAACATGATCTGTCTCTTGGGTCCCTCTTACAGGGAAATGCATCTCGGTATGTTACGCCTCCGGTAAGAGGAGAATCGGGGGATACTTATAGGGAGAACCTTCTGAGAAGTGGTACTACTGTCAGCAGAGCTGAAGTGAACCATGGATGGTTTCTTTTTTGAACAATGTGGGGGTTGGGGGTGCCGACTGACCTCCCTCCTCCCCCGCCCCACGCAGTTGAAAATCCACATGTAATTTTTGACTCCCCCCAAACTTTACTGTAATAGCCTTCTGTTGACTGGAAGCCTTACCTACAAACAGTCAACTAACATATATTTTGTACATCACATGTATTACATACTGTTTCTTACAGTAAAGCTAAAGAAAATATTAAAAATGAAGAGAATAGGTTTACAGTCCTGTATTTATCCACACACAAGAAAAAATCTGTGTATCTTCTGTGGAACAGCACAGCTCCAACCCCTGGTGTTCCAGGGTCAACTTCCTATTGCTCTTTTGGGTTTTGTTTATTATTATGTAAAGGAACCACGTTTTAACACCTAGAACTGTTTTCTTTTCCCTAGCTGAACAGGTAACCAACAATCTGAAAGAACTTGCGCAGCAAGTCACTCCAGGCGACATTGTCAGCACATACGGAGTTCGAAAAGCAATGGGGATTTCCATCCCCTCCCCCATCATGGAAAACAACTTTGTAGATTTAACGGAAGGTACATGCCGTGTGTGTCTGGGAGGACGGAGGACTGTTGTGAGTAAAAGGAACATCAGTCCTCTCCCCTCAAGTAATACTGGAAAGATTTTTGTCTCTGCGTGTTGATATTGTATAAACTCTTTATTAATTCTTTAGACAAGACGTAAAGGAAATAAAGATTTGACACATTTGCAAAAAAACCCTACAATGATACCCTAGTAGTATATCTACTCTTTAACCTTGACCATGGTAAAGAAGGGCTGTCAGCACTTATTCTTCTGGATGATACCTTTACCTTTTAATTAAAAGGGAAAAAGTGCTGAATGAGGCCGTAACTTTTCCTTTCAGATTTTGAAGAACCGAGAAAGACTGATGTTGCCGAGTGTGGACCCAATGGGATTTGAAGCTCACTGGTATTTCATTATATATTCTGTACATATTTTTTTCATTCTTAACTTGGAAATGCTTTTCAGAAGATACTAAATATTTGTAAATTGTGTTTTTAATTAAACTTTGGAACAGTTAATTTTAATGTTCCAGAGATTGGACTTGTATTAGGTAATAAAGCTGAGCCTGGGACTATGAGCTGTGTTGTGCTGTCAGCTGAGTTGCTCCTTGACCTTTTCCCAGGGCTGAAGTGATAGAGAAACACTTAGGAAATAAAACAGCCTTTTCAGGACCCTTTGTTAAAAGCAACAAGTCCCCCAAATAATTGAACTCCTTCGTTTTACCGCATTTGTCAGAACTCCTCGTTATAGAAATTATGACCAAAGAGTTCTGACTTACAGATTTCACCTAGATGATTTATTCAAAGAAGGGCCTCGTGAGGAAGGACTAGGACGGACTCTGACCTGTTGCCATCTGGAGTGGGCCTGGGCACAGTCGGAATGACGGTGCTACTTCCTTAGGGCCCACACGGGACCGGAGCTCAGACGCTTCTCTAAAATACCCATCCAGTGAGATTCTCCATCGTTATACCATGAAAACAAATACTAGTAGATTCTAAAATTCTTAAGTGTATGTCCCTTGCATACTTGATGGGAATGATGTCCTCCTATAGAAGGATGAGGTGACGAGGTACCTCCCCTTTGCCACCCTCTCTCTCTCCCCCCCTCAACCCCCCAAAATCACACCAGGAGTTTCATAGTACTCACCTATCTGGTGGTCCTCTTTGGTTTATTTATTTTTTCCATTTTTGAGAGGGTCACTTAGAACTACAGTAAAAGGAGAAGCCAGATAAGAAAGGGAATCACAGAGCTTAAAGGAAAGTTTACGTTTCTGTTTACTGTTTCTTCCGGGCCACTTGTGCCTCAGCGTGTCCCCTGAACTGAGAGTCCTCTACTTTTATCTGAAATACAAAGGTCGGCTGCTTGAGCAGATAATGGAGTAGGAGACCAGGAGACATGAGGTCCTCTTCCATAACCAGGCACCACGCAGCAGCCTGCTTCAGGAAACCCTGCTTGGGTTATGCAGAGCCCTTCTAAGACCCCCTTTCCTCTCCCCCGCCCCACCCTCCCTGCCCCCCCCCCCGGCTGGGAGCCTTTTTATTTCCCTGACTTTGAAAACGAACATTTAGCAAGAACAAGTGGGGTGAAGGAAAACTGATTCTCCACGACGACCCATTCTTAAAAACCTACTAAAAATCCTATGCCAAAAGAACTTCAAAATTGTTCAGTTATATATTTCAAGTCTTTTTAGAGTTTAATTTTCCGATTATAATTCAGGCAGTGATTCTCTTAAGACCAAGAAAACTGAAATTCAAAACACTGTAGGACATTTTTTTCCAAATTGCTGATTTAATATATGAAAGGCTAAACAAAGTAGAAACACTGGTACTTTATAAAAATGAAGTATAACATTTTGAAACAAATGTTACAGATCTATAAATATTCAGTATACAGAGTAATTCCTAGTTATTTGGATGTACCCTCTCAAAACCTGTTTTTGGGCATGACCTATTATATACACCATGTACACAGTGGTTAATGATCTTTTCTTAATTTTCTTAATGAGTAAACCAGAAAATGTCAGGTGTGACTTTCACTAGAGTCGGGGAGGCCCCCTTCACGCCAGCCCGTGACCCCTAGGAAAGGTCAGTGTTAGAAAAGATACTTGTCTTCTCATAGAACAGAATGATACCTGGCGAGGAAGGGGCCTGGCCCCTGGAAAACACACTAAGCAAACGTGACTGTAGGTGCCTTTTAGGGTCCATTCCACACAATAGTTGGCACATCAGAAACTCAAAACTTCCAAAAATGTGCTTATCGGAGCACCTTGCTTGAATTGGAAATAAAAAGAGAGGACTGGATTTCTGTTGCGGGAGGAAAAAAGTAATTTAATATTGCGAGAGTAGAAGTAGGCCCACCTCAGAGAGACCCAGCATGCCTAGGTGTGTCCGGTATTGTATCCGTGACAGAACCTTCCTGACCTCTGAGGCGAGCCCTGCCGAGAGGCCCTGGTCGCTGCCGATTTATGTGTCCGGGTCGCAGTGTAGTACTCACCCGAAACCAGCCCTTTATATGAAAAGTTGGTGCAGAAAAGCAGTTTTTAAGTGAGGTTACCCCTTAACAGCATTTTTTGCCGTAAAATTCCTTTGTACAGCAAGTTCCTGTAATTCATTCATCTCCCTCCCAGTGACACGCAAGCCTCAGCCGCTAGCACATCTGGCTTCACTGGGCAAACGAGATCAGCCCCTTCTCAGGCTGATAAGCCCCAGACGTGGCCTGAGCAGACAGCGGGTTCAGCTTCAGTCCTCCCTGCCCTTGGCTGCAACCCTGTGTCCGCTTTTAAAAGCTTCCCATACGCAAGATTTCCTGTAATGGCTGGGGGTTCCTGGAGGACCCCGAGCTGGGAATCCCTGCTCTGCAGTGAAATGCAGCTGTGTGAGAAACCCCGGGCGTGCGCTCTGGTGATGAGGCAGCAAAGCTGATCCAGAAAAAGGAATAGGCAGTTTGGTTCCTTCTCACCTGGAAATACAACTCAAGCTGACTTCTGAGTCTTTGAGAACTGAAGGTCTGTGAGACGCATCTCGCGAACCTGGCGTTTCGCACTTGCCTTGATTCATGCGGTTCAGAGCAAGACCAGCCCAGCATTTCCGAGCGGGCTGGCTTCCCACATATGGGAACCTCTTTGCGCGCTCATGTGGAGCAGAAGCTTTTCGTTTTTGAAGCTCAAGTTAGGTGTGAGGACTAAAGGAAGGAAGTGCTACAGGTTACCTGTGTCCTGTCTGCACAGATTCCATTCCTTTCCACCACAGAAGCTAAGATTTAGCGGAAGACTGCAGGGGAGAGCCCCACACATGGGGGAGCAGTCGGGGAGGGGCTAGGAGGTGGTGCCTCATTTCCTGAGCCACGCCACCGCCTGCCTTCTTGCCGTGAGCCACACTCCAGGCCCAACCACCCCCAGCTGGGCCAATCCAGAAACGGACACCGGACGGTAGGTTCTCCTTCAGTGTCAGTGGTTAAAAAGTACGCTGGAGGGAAGAGACTTTGTCTAGCATCTAAGAAGTCATTAAAAAGGATAAAACCTCCACCAATCGTATAGCCATTTAAAACATACACACGCTAGAGATGACAAGAGGTAGCAAATGTCCGCTGTGGTTTTTCCGCCCTACTGTGTGAAACCACAGATTGAAAACAGCCTTTTCAGCTCTGTTTGCCAGAATGCCTGTGTGAGCAATGCAGAATCCTGTGGCTGATCCGCTGGGGCAAAAAGGAGTACCCAGACCATCCCGGACGACTCGTCCTAGTTCCATACCTAGAAAAGACCGGGCCCGCGTGTGCAGCTCACAGGCCAGGCAGGGTATGTACGGCTCATGCTCCGAGATCGCCACAGCAGCAAGGGGACTGAGCAGCTGAGCCTCATGAGTGAGCCTGTCCACACTGTCTAGGGGCTGTGGTGCAGACTCGGATGGCACAGAGGTGCTGGCTACCTGTGGGTGGCAAGGCTCCGTGGTCGCCTCAGGCGAGGGTCTGATGCATGTTCCCAGAAATCCTGTAGCACAAATCCGAGGAAGCTATGCATAGCCATCTGCAGGGGTAGTGACGACCAAACCCTTGGAATGCCTTTGTGACTGGCGTGGGGCTGAGTGCTCCCCTTGGCTTGTCTCAGGGAAGGAAATCTGCTTCCAGCATGTTCTGCACCTACCAGAAGCCCTCAGTTGAGTCCCAACCCTTGGAACTTGGCAGTGTCTGTACAGACAAAGTAAGTCCTCAGCTCGCCTTTGCCTTTGACGTTGATCAGTCCCCGGCACTCGCAAGAATAACCTAGTCCCTGGAGGATGGTGCATGTCTCTTCAGTAACCTGAAAAGAAAAGGCCGACAGTCCTGGGAAGCAGGAAGAACACCCGCTGTGGGGGGTCAGGCAGAAACCAGCCCCAAGCAGCACACATCTGGTGTCCCTGAAGCACGTCAGGGCTGGAGTCACATTGCTGACTGATGCCCGGGTCCCTGCGCCTCTGCAAAGTTCCTCCCCCTGTGGTCATAGGTTCCCCAGCTGGGTTGTACCTGGATCTTGCCAAGTTCTCCAGTGCTCTCCATCCGGCTGGCAACGTTGACCGTGTTTCCCCAGATGTCATACTGAGGCTTTCGTGCCCCGATCACTCCAGCAATCACGGGCCCATGGTTTATGCCTGAAGGGGACATTTGCAGTTGGCGGGTCAGGGAGGCCAAGCCTGAGGCTCTGCCCTTAGCAGCAGCCACAGAAAACACTGACCAACCTCTGAAATGGCTAGAGGGCGCTTCCCAAGCCCATGACAGGAGTGCTCATTCGGGGTGCGTGAGGCACTCCCCGGGTGGCCCTCTTCCGGCTGCTTGCTCCAGAAGTTGGGCTGCAGTTAGCACTTTCCTAGTATCTGCTCATCTCCCAACCAAGAACAAACAGGCTGTGAGCACCAGCCCTGTAGCTAACACGGAGTAGTTAGGTCAATAACTTGGCTTTGTTCTCAGGACATTGTAAGGTTTACAGAAGGTGATTTTGGGGTTCTCCATTTTCTGTAGGGTTCTGTTTCTATCTACTCAAAACTTCCAAAGCTAACTTTATAAACAGAATGCCAAGAAAGAGTAATTGCCCTGTCGCCAGCGTTGCAAGGCCAAGAGGGCATTCTCAAGGCTTTCCCGCTAGACGGTGAAGTGCACTGTCAGGCCTGAGCGTGCGCTTGCCAGGAGGCATGGGCCCCAGCCACCCTCCCCGAGCCCGGCCCCGCTCTCTGGGCCCTCACCAACTCGGAGGCGGAAGGAGTTGAAAGAATGCCGGTTGATGCCGTCCAGCTTGCTCATCAGGGCGATGCTGAACTCCACCATGATGCCAATGTGCGCGTACTGCCGCTCCAGGTCCTGCGGGACAGAGCGCTGCGCACGGGAGCCGCAGGTCCCCTGCCCCGACTTCCCACCTGCACTGGGTGTCAGGCCGGCAGGAGGCTGAGCTGTGAGGTCCTCTGCCCCTCCCTCATAGGACAGGCCTGGGACCTGCTGAATCCCCCCTAGCAGGGGACTGGGACATGAGGCCACCAGCTCAGCTCAGTACCTGGTTCTCAGTCCCTGAGGGGCTGCTGAGCCCCGCGGCTGCCATGTACGTGCTGCCGATGGTCTTGATCTTCTCCACGCTGCTGAACTTGGGCTTTAGGAGCAGCTGCGGGACAAAAGGGACACCCCGAGGTCTGAGAAGGGTTGGGGTCCCTCCCGCCACTGCTCCTAATGCCGACATTTCTCACGTTCGGCCTTCCCTTGTGAACGGACAGCCGAGTCCATGCAGGGACGAGGTCTCTGGTTCTGTCCCTGCTGCCCGGTCCTCCTATTCGCGTCAGGACTCTCTTAAGGAGCAAGCACAACCCAACAGGATCTACCCAGGAATGTCGAATGTTCGCAGCTAAGAATGAAATCCAAGGGGCACCTGGGTGGCTCAGTTAAGCATCTGACCCATGGTTTCAGCTCAGGTCATGATCCCAGGGTCCTGGGATTGAGTCCCACATTGGGCTCCCTGCTCAGTGGGGAGCCTGCTTCTCCCTCTCCCACTCCCCCTGCTTGTGTTCCCTCTCTCGCTGTCTCTATCAAATAAATCTTAAAAAAAAAAAAAAAAATGAAGTCCAAGCCAACGGACTTCCTCAGAAAGAGGTGGCAGCATGGGCTTGGCTGGGACTCAAACTTAGAGCAGCCTCCCTTACCCACTCCCAGACCCCGGTGGCTGCCTGGCACCGCAGGGTCCCAAGCCCTCCACAGCGTGTGCTCTCTCGCCCACGAACTCGCCTGTGATGAGGTTTAGTTAGAAATCAGGCATGGTGAAAGATTAACAACAGAACCACGCGCCCTGATAAAAGTTACGTGAAGGGTCCCTCTCTTAAAAACTCTGCCTGTACTGCGTTCGTTCCTCCTCCTCCTCCTGGTGATGAGATGAAGCGAGGCACATGACGGGGACACTGTGACACGGCGTTCGGCCACTACCGACCTCCTGGCCGTGTGTCGGGTGGGGGGTCATCTGCTGCCGGGGCGCAGCTCACGCGGCCAGCAAACCACAGGTAAGGGCACCGCTGCCTTCTTCAAGGACCTACATCTGACCTGAGCTGGCTGCCCCTCGCAGAGAAGGGTAACAAAGCGCTTACTGAGGGAAACATGGAGAAAGGCGCACGCGTCCCTCTCCTAATCTGGGGGGCCCGCGCCCACGGCCCGCACCCTGCCCTCCGCGCCAGGCCGAACCTCATCGAAGTCGGCGATGATCTCGTTCAGCAGGCGCAGACACTCCAGCCCCTCCTTGTTGACGTCGCACTCCGTGTAGAAGACTTTGAAGTCCGGCACAGACGCGAACATGACACACACGCAGTCGTAGGACTGATGGTACCAGTCCTGGATGGGGGCGGGCAGAAGACGACCTTGCGCCAGCCGGCCGGGGCAGGGGGACAAGCAAGCACAGGGACGCGGCCCCTTGGCCATCCCACGAAACTTTCAGGGCCCGGGGGCGCAACGCGAGTGTCGCTCGGCCTGCCTTACGCCTGAGACTCCCATCTGAGTGCACTGGTTGGGGCGGGCTCGGGGTGGTTCTGGCTCTGCGCTACCCTGGGTCCCGGGGCTGAGGCTGAGAGCCCCGGGGGGGCGGGCCAAGGTCACAGTCAGGGGGCCTGGGTCCTCTTCCGTAAAACGCTGCGGCACGGAGCCCGTGAGTGACGCACATTTTCATCTGCACGGACAGACCGGACCACAGAGGCCTGGCCATGCAGCTGGTGCCCAAACCACCCGCCCCCGGGCGGCCCCACGTCCCAGGGGTGAAAACCACGGCCCCCGGAAGTGCGGGCCCCAGGTACCCTCCGTCTCTCCCTACCCGGGGCCACCCAGCGCCCGCCGGCACCACACCTCATTTAACTTGTCACCAATGAAGTGAGCGGCCACGTGGGCTGGCAAGACATTCTCCAGAAGAAGGCGGTTCACATTCTCCATGGTTTCAAACTCCTCGTGCTCCTTCTTGAACTTCTTCTTCCACAAACAGTCCAGGCGGCAGTAGTAGTCAATCTGCGGACGGCGGGCAACGTCGGTGTCCTGGCCGCCTTGAGCCGGGACACGACACACGTGTAGCCCCGGGGCCCGCTGAGCCAGCCCTCAGCGCTTCCACCCTGCGTCCCCAGCTAATGTCCCCAGCCGGGACTCGGTTCTCAAGTGACCCACGTGACCAAATGTCACTGGCGTCCCGTGGGGAGGGGATGCAGGGAGGTGAGGACCCGGGGACCCCTGCCCCCAGGGGCCAGGGCTTGTGTACGGGGCTGGGCGCTGCCTCCCATGCAGCCCCAAATCTGCAGACACCCCGGCCCGGTTGTGTCCCCCGCCTCCCCCCCGCTGAGCACGAGGCCCTACCTGCCTGGAGAGCATGAGGAGGGTGACGTAGAACAGAACCAGGTAGAAATTGGTCATCGCCTTCGCGTCCTTCCACACACAGAACGGGGAGCTGCTGGACACGAAGGGGAAAGGCCAGAGTCGCTCGCGCCTGGCCTTCAGACGCAGGCCCGGGACAGACAGCTGCCGTCAGCTCACATCCTCAGGGCGCAGACACAAAACAAGCGACTTCGGGGTGGCAAGAGAAGACGGTCTGACTGGGAGGTGGGGGAGGCCTCACTGAAATGAAGTCTGAAGGAAAAGCACTCCAGGCAGGTGAGGGGACAGCCAAGCACTCCTCCAAGTCAGGGACTGCAGCTGTCAGCAGACCCAGGGGAGCAGATTTGGTTCTGGGCCCCCAAATCCAAGGGGAGCCAGGCCCCTCTCCTCAACCCACCTGGGGCTGAGAGCCCCCAGAAGCACACACACGCCATCCCTTCCCACGCCACAGGGCTCAGCCACCAGTCCAGGGACAGACGGGAGACAACTGTTCTTTCCAGAACTCTGGAGATCCGGGACACGGCTCAAGGAGGGGGACCAGGCTAGAGCTGAAGCCTCCCCACCGCACCCCAAAATGGTGTAGAGACAGAAGGACCCAGGAAGCCTCCGTGGGACTCGGGACATCCCCCAAAGAACCTGCAGATGAGTGACACTCCAGCTCTGAGTGTACAGACCTGGGACCATCACGTCCCCTCCTGTAAAATGGAGACCATGCCACCTGCCAGCCCAGTCCCCAGGCGTCCAGGCCAATGGCACTGTGAAGGCCAACACAGCACGGTTTGACGTGGCACCCCATGGACCACACTCGAGACGGGCAGGGGGACACGGGGTGCTTCGGGCCCCACCTGAGGGTACCATTGGTCTCGGTGAGGTTGTCCACAACGTGGCCACAGCAGTCCGACTGCCAGCACGGGGAGATGTTGAAGAGCACCAGGTAGGCCACCAAGGCCACGGTCAACAGCACAACCTTCAGCTCCAGGCTCATCCGCAGGAAGACCGAGCAAGCGACAAAGGCGAGGATGCAGCTACAGGTGTAATACTGGGGTGATGGGGGGGCGTCGGTCATCATGAGGCAGCTCCTGGACCCAGGTCACCAGGGCCTCAGCTTTTCTCCCTCCCTTTTCTCCCTGTCCCAGAACCTTTCTGCCCTTCAGAGACCAGCTCAAAATTCACCACGGCCCGCAGAAGTCCCCCACCCTCCGCTGCCGCCCATCAGGGCTCCCCAGACCTGGCTTCTGCTGTCGGCCTGCCTGATGCCAGTCATGGCTCCACCACCCATGGTTGGTGGAAGCCAACCAGTCAACCTCTCGGGGCCCCTCCTCGCGCCTTGGATGAAGCAGCACCGGCCCCGAAGCCCTTGTGTCCTCCAGGACCAGAGGCCACCTCGGCCCCGGCTGGGCCTTGCTCTGTCCATCTCCTGGGAGGGGCTGGACTCCGCTCCCCCGCACCCCGTGGCCTCAGACACTCAGGCGGGGCGCTGCGCAGGAGCAGGGCCCAGCGGGAGCACGCGGGGCCCAGCCGTCCGGACCAGGGCCTGGCAGCACTCACCGGGAGGAGCCCGCACGTGTTGCTCCCAGGCCTCGGGCTCAGGCTCGTCTGGTTGCCCGCAGGCAGCCCCGGGGCCGAGAAAGGCATCAGCGGCTACAGAGAAGACAGGTCACCGTGAGGGGTGGCCCAGGGACCTGGGACTCTAGGACCTGCCAGGGCTGAGCGGGGCCGGGGGTTGGCAGGGGCCAGAGGCCTCCATGAGCAGCACAATCATCTCCTGCCAGGCCCAGCTCCAGGCACGCCCAGAGCCGCGGTGCCCCGACTCCCGGCCACAGGCATCCACCTCCCAGAGGAGAGGGGTCCGGGGAGGAGGAGGGTGTAAAATGAAGCCCCATGTGCACCATCGCCAAAGCATCAGAGGCTGATTTGGGGCTGGGGGAGGCAGGGGAGAAGCTGGGATCAGCATAGTCAGTGAGCCCCCTTCTCCCCAGGCGACCCTGAGTGTGGTGGTCAGAGGGTCTCAGGGACACGGAGAGCCCCTGGCTCTAGAGGTCAGAGCTGGGAGGACCAGCGGGGACACATGCTGTCCGCAGCACTGAGCACGTGAGCCAGGCCTGAGAAGCAGGGGCTCAAGTGTCCTCCCCAGCCTGTGCCCAGGGCCACTCACCCTAGCGAGGGAACGGAGTCTCAGAGAGAGTAAGCCAGGGCCTCCCCAGGTAGAAGGATGAGGTTGAAGAAGGTAGAAGATGCCAAGAACACTGGTGGTTCAAGACATCCTGTCCTTGTGGGGCTGGCCACATACACTCTCTGGGGGCCCCAGGTCCTCGTGTGAAAAGCGAAGGGGAAGGAGTCCGGGCCCATCTCAGGGGCCTCGCGGAGCCCGCCCACAGGGGCCTGCAGAGAGCTACACCAGATGCACATCTCGGGCAGGAGACTGTGGGATTCAAGAACCTGAGGGTGCCCAGGGTCAAGGACTGGCTCCCCCCTCCCCGCAGGAAGCACGCACAGGGCAGGAGGGCTCCTCGCCAGGGCCCGCCGTCCCCACCCACCCCCTAGAACGCACCAGGTTGACGATGGCGATGCTGAGCAGGCTGCCAATAGTCAGGACGGCCAGGGACAGGCGCAGCAGGGGCTGGGTCTCCACACTCTCAGAGATGGCCTGCAACATCCCCCGGGCCGGGCAGCACCTCTGTGGAGGCACGGGGTCAGGGGGCCGGCGCCAGCACCGGGACAAGGACCCGTCGGTACAAAGGCCCAGCGGACGTGAGGGCTCCCGAGAGCTCCACCAGAGCTCAGGCCCAGAGCTCAGGACACACGGGGTGCACAGAAGGGACGCTCCCACCCTCAGGGCCAGGGACAGCCACAGCCGCTTGGGGGCCCCCGGCAGCCCAGGAAGGTGGAATTACTGGGAGAAGCGCTCTGCAAACTGTCGCCAGCGCAGGAGGGGCGCAGAGGGCCAGCGGGGCAGGGCCAGGTGCCTGCCTGGTCAAGGGCTCCCACTCACCAAGAACTCGTGGGCAAAGCACAGGCCCAACACCAGCGCCAGCACACAGGCCACCAGCCCGAAGGACACACCCAGAGCCACCATCCTGGAGAGCAGAAAACCCTAGTTCTGGGGGACCGTTGGCCCAGGGCCAAGCCACAGGCATGCTCCCCAACGCCCAGCACCCCAATTCTCAGGCTCCCAGCCGCCTCCCGCCCCCCCAAACCGCCATCTGCACACAGCGAAGGGAATCTCTGAGCCCTGTGGTCCAGCTGCCCCACTCGTGCATGAGGCCTGGGCCACGCATCTAAGAAAGTGGTGGGCACGCAGCCTTCAGACCCACGGCCGCCACGGAAGTACCAGACGGAAGGGCTTCTTCCTAGTTTGTATTTAGGAAGCACATCCTAAACCCCAACCCTAGTGGATCCTTTGGCCTCACCACCCTTCCAGAAACCACCACATAGCTGACCTCACTCCTTCCCTGTGACCTCCCCCCAACCCCGCCAACAGGAGCCATGCACCCGGATAGGGCAAGAAGCCCTCTGAGCCTCAGTTTCCCACATCTAAGAGGGAGCTGGAGGTGGCTACGGTTCTGGGAGTCTGCCTTCTGGGACGACGGACGCCTCAGGCCACACGCCCACAGGGCCACACAGGTCTCAGGGGACTGGGAAGGCCTGCGTCTTGACAGGACGACCACATTCGATGGAGACAAAAATAAGCACTGGCGAGCCCAGGTGTGGGCCACAGCTCCTGGTCCAGTTTCTGGGACTCCGGGCCCCTCCTGCCGGTCGGGCAGCACACACAGGTTTTCTGGGGGCTCTGCCAGGCCCCGGGCCCGCGCATCCCGCCCACCCCAACTGACCTGGGCATGAGCAGGGCCTGGACCAGCAGGATGCAGACGAAGACGAGACTGGCGCAGGCGAAGTAGTGGCGGGCCCGGGGGATGGGTGCCAGGCGGTACTGGGGGTGAGGGCGATGGTCAGGGCCGCTTGCTCTGCCCCTTCACGGCCCACCCCGGCTTAAGTTAATCAAAACTCACACCCACAACCCTGGGGGCGCCTGGGTGGCTCAGTCGGTTAAGCGTTCGACTCAGGTCATGATCTCGGGGTCCCACTCAGTGGGGAGCCTGCTTCTCCCTCCCCCTCTGCCCCTCCCCCCCTTGTGCACATGTGCTCTCTCTCTAAAATAAATCTTTAAAACAAACCTCACATACTCCTTGAGTTCCAGGTGATGATGGGACATTATCATGACCAAATGACCTTCATTCTGTTCCCTGACGTTTAGAGCTGATCCCTTCCCCTCCCCCACCCCATCCAGGTCTCTGACTCTATTTCCCACATCCCTGAGAAGCCTATGGCCCCAAGCTTGTGGACAGGAACCAAGTCTGAGCTCTGGGGCTGGTGGTGGGTCTGTCCTCCCCCCAAACCCAGGAGTAAGGCCGGGCCTGAGCCCCTTAGCTAGTGGGCAGGGGGGACCCCGGTGCAGCTCATGGCCCTACACCAGGCACAATCTCATGATCTCGGGCCACAGGGACTCCTGCTGCAGGTGAGCAAACCGGGGCTCAGAGAGTCCGGCAGCCTGCCCAGGGTCACACAGCTGCTGGAAGACCTGCCAGGCGGGTTTCCCTCAGACCCCAAGCTCCTCACCGAAGGAGCCCCGACTCAGGAAGCCCCAGCCAGAGAAAGACCCCACCACCACCACCACTCTTGAGGCTGAGAGGGGAAAGAAGCCCCAGCACCAGAGCCCCGTGGCCTGGGACCACCCTCGCGGGCCACACCAGAAGCCAGAAGTCTGTGAAATGGGTAGCAATGGCCTCCTTGTCCAGCCGCGTGACGTTTCAAGGACATACGTGTGTGCCAGGGACATGGCCAGAACGCAGTAGGCGCTCAATAAATAAGTAAACAGTTGTGGAACGGCATAAAAGCACATAGTTATAGCAGCCAGAAGGGAGAACCAGACTAAGGCGTGCACTGGCCCTTATCAGCTGAGGTTCTAGCATATGAGGGGAGCAAATGTCTCCCAAACCCAAGTGGGAGAATCCCTAACAGGGCACAGGTGAGGTACAGGAGTAAGGCCAGCAGGAAGAGAGTCCAAGCAAGGCGGGACTGGGCCCCCACCCACCCCCATAGCCCGCGGGGGTGACTCCCCACCACCCTCCCTGAACAGACGTCGGAGTGGTGGCCGCCCCACCCAGGCCTGGAGCCCCCCGTTCCTCACCTCTCGCTCGAAGTCTTTCTCCAGGAAGATGGACCCAAAGGTGTAGAAGTCATCGGACCTGGAGCAGCAGGGCCTGAGGGGTGGCAGGCGCAGGCTGTGAGACACAGGGCCTGGGGGAGCAGGGGGGCCCGCCCTCGGGAGGAGATGGGGGAGGGCATGGAGGAGGGGGTCCCACTCTGGGGAGCAGGGAGATGAGGGGGCAGAAGTCCACCCTCAGGGGGCAGCACCAGGGGGGCAAAGGAACCACCACAGACGCAGCTGGAGCTGGGCCACCAGGCACGCGGGCCCCAAGTGGGCCTGGCCGTATGGGGACCCCCCATCCGAGGGGGCACAGGGCGAACAGAGGCCTCGGGGTCCCACCTCGTGGAGCTCAGCCCCTCGATGGCTGACAGCATCTCCTCATCGTATGAGTCGTCCTCCGACCGCCCCCGGGGGGATGCGCTCCTGGATCAGAAACCGAAGCGCATCACCCCAGGACCACACGTGCTCACCCAAAGGCAGGAGTGTACGTGAGGCGGCTCCCCTGTCTGGATGCCCGGAGGCCCCAGAGCCTTGTGCAGGGTGGCCAAGGAACAGGAGGGTCCCACTGAGGCCCAGAGAGGGCAAGGGGAGGCCCGGCATCAAGCAACAGGCCCAGGTGGCCAGCAGCCCAGCCAGAAGCAGAGGACCTCTAAGGCGGACCTCTAAGCCTCTTCCCCTCCAGCCGCAGGCTGCCCTCCCGCCAACCACTGACCCGGCCCCAGGTGGGGACACCACAGGCTCTCCATTACTGTGAAGTTCTCATTCCAAGCCACAGCCCCTCCGAGCTGCCCTCCTGGACAGAGGATGGTCAGGGCAGGCTGCCTGGAGGGGGCGGACACTAAGGGGGTGACCGGGGGGCAGGACTTGGCCAGGAAGGCAGGCCACGGTCGACAGAGAGGAAGGGACAGTGCACGTACCTGTCAGGGGTCCGGTGGCGCCGCAGGGGAATGGTCTGGAAGGGAAAGGAGAGGGGACGGTTACTCTGCAATGAGGGGCCCCCGAAGTCTGTCCCTGGACTGTGCATCTCCTGCACCCTCGGACACATGGGGCAGGTGCCGAGCAGTCTGGGAGGCAGGGTCCTACCTTGGGCCTCCGCCCGCTGGGGACGGGGGTCTCACCGCTGCTCACGCTCTCACGGTGGTTGAGGTGAGCAAAGGGCCGCGCAGCGCCCCAGGACTCGAGGTAGCGGGTCATGCGCACGGACGCCCGCATCTTCAGGGCCGCGTCCCCCTTGGGCTTGGGGAGGTGCTGGCTGGGCGGGGGCGGCTGCTGGCTCTGCAGGCAGACACAGACACGGCCTGTCCCCTCCCCTCTCAGCCCAGGAAGGGCCCCCGCCCCCATTCCACTCCCCCTGAAATGCCACGCTGCCCTGAGTGCTGGCCAGGCTGGGGAAAAAGAGAATTGCAGAAACGCTGCTGGGTCTGCAAGCCCCTGGGGGACCAGCTGTGGCCCGGTGCACTCCTTGGCTGGGCTGCACAGGAGGTCCCAGCTTGGGCCCTGTCCTTCCCGGGCGGCCAGGAGATTGGGGATCACACACAACTGTGCACAGCCCCTCAGACCCTTCTCCGCCTCCCCAGGGAAAGATCGGGCTGAAGTCCTAAGCCCTAAGACCCTGCCGGCCCCGTGAGGCTCTGTGGGACCAGACACTGTCCCCCTTGGGGCCTGAAAGCCCACTAGCCTCTCCCCATGGGGACACCCCGGGGAGACAGTGCCCAGGAAAGCCACAAGCATCCTACCCAGCCCACCCACATGTGGCCAGCACATGTCCTTCCAGAAGGGAGCAGCTGGAGGAAGAGGAGTGCAGGCCAGGAACCCGGAGAGCCGGAGAGCCGGCCAACCAAGAGGCCAGCCCCACCCCCTGGGCGGCATTCCAGGCACTTCCACTTGTGTGGCCCCCACTCCACGGCAGGGAGCGTTACGTGCCATGTGCCTGCTGTGGCCAGGTCAGGGAGAGGGTGTTGGCCCGGCCGGCCTCCTCCGTGGCCCCCTGCCCCCACCCCCCTAAGAGCTGGGGGCCTTCCCCTGCTGGGGAGGACGGGCAGGACTGTAAAAGGGGGAGAGAAGAGAAACAGTGCCAAGGCCGCCGGAAACAAGCTTGAACCATCTCCAAATCCCCCTACCCCCTGTCCCCTTGGGTCTCTGCAAACACCCATAAGGACCAGCATCTACGGCCACAGACACTCGCTAAGCCACAGGCAGCAACTTTCCTGGAAACTTCTAGCCTCCTTTCGGGATAGAAACATTTTTAAGCCCTGAGATGCGCCTCTCTGCCTCGCCAGTGGGACCAGCTGGAATCCAGCCGTGCCGCGCCAAGAGCCACCTGCCCTGGAGTCGGGGGAGGTCCCATTCTCCGTCTCCCCTTTACGGGTCGGCAACTCTGCCCCCACAGCCCCCAGCCGCTCAAGTTCGGGGTCGCTAGCACTTCTCACACACCGGGGCTTCCTGAGAAATAAATGTGCACTAAAGATCCATCAGCTCTGAGTAAAAAGGCAGCTGTTCCGAAGCGGGCCCCGGGAGGGCACCTGCGACTGTCACCAGACCGCAGGTGAACCCCACCGGCCACCTGCCACCTCTGGACAACCTGCAGAGGCCAAACTTGGGGAAGGCCGGCCACATCGACAGCAGGAGGCACCCCTGAGCGTGCGGCGGCCTCTGTGCACAAATAAGGGCGCTTCTCCCAGCTCCGTCATCAGGTGAAGAAAGCAAGGTACCAAGCAGGGGCGGGGCACGCCACCCTCAGCTTGGCAAGGGCGCAGGACAGTCCCTTGGCTCCTCAGTGTGCATCAGCATCTCTGTGGAAGGGAGACTCGCCACGCTGTCCCCTTCAGCGGGAGCGCCGGCTGCAGGCAAGTATGTGAGGGCAACGGCCCGCAACACACCCTTCGTGCTTTTTGAATATTCAACTATGTGAATAAGTGAAACTCAACAAAGACGGGGAAGGTAGGGTTGCTGGAGAAACTGTAGGATGCCCAGTTAGATCCTGCACAAAACACACACATGCTAAAAACTTCGTTGTTTATCTGAAATTGAAGCTCGCCTGCGAGTCCCGCAGCGGCCTTGCTGAGGGGAGGGCTTAGAGCCATCCCTGCCACCGCCTTGCAGGACGGCGCTCTGCTTCTGGGCACACGCTCTCTGAGCCCCGGCTCCATCGCCAGGCACTGCTCTAGGCGCGGGGATGGCAGCCTGGACAGGCCACTCCCCCTGCCCCGAGCCTGCACATGTGGAGCTCACAGTGACAGCAGACAAGCAAAGAGGATAAACCAACAGGAGCATTTGCAAGCAAGCCGAGAGCACTGCGGGCAGAGACGGCAGCAGTGACAAGGGCCCTGTGGCACAAAGAGCATGGCAGTGGAGGGCAGGGGCTGGGGTGAAGGGCACTCAGGGGGCAAGGGGGCACGGTCAGAGAAGAGGGCAGGGCCCAGAGCTGCAGGGTACAGGGTGAGGGGCCGGACTGTATTCCACGATTGTGGGGTGGAAGCAGCCCCGAGGTACCCAGGAAGGGTTTCCCCAGATGCTAACTCAGCATCCAGGGCCCACGGCCAGGGAGGGGAGGTTGCTGAGCGGTTCCCATCCCTGGGGAACATGACGGGGCCAGGGAAGCTCGCAGGCTGACCCTCCGCTTCCCCCGCCACCCCGCGAGACTGGCAGTCGAGCCAGCTCTGAGGACAGCCAGGGCCAGAGAGAGGGAGCTGTAAAGAGCCCATCCTGTGGCCGACATTCTTGAGCAAGCCCCAAGGATGATTCACCGAGGCCGCCAGACGAGCTGGCCTCCCGCGGCAGGAAAGCAGGGCCTGTGTGGGCGCAGGGCAGGACCAGGGCCCACCGCCTTGGAGCAGCCCAACAGCTGCCTCCGCCTCGGGGTCCTGACGAAAGCGGGGCCTCCGAGCAGGTAGAGGCATCAGCCCACGGGGTGGCCACCCACGG